GCCTAGGACATCACTGTACTCTCTTGTAGATTTGTAAACACTGTCGCACAAGCCTCCCTACCTGCTTCCTTCCGGCAGGGTCAGAAATAAAACATCGAAGCTGTCAATGTTGCTCCATGAACAGGGATGTGGGCTGGATTGATGGGAAGAGAAACTGGCTGAGTTAGGCAAAGATTGCCATAATAGTGACTGTCAGGAGAGAGTGAGAGGTTGACTGAGGATCAGTAAGAATGAGAAATCAAGATGGAGGGATAAAGGAACATAAGGATTGTCATGGCAATGTGGTTTGGACTATTGCATGTTGGAATAGTGGTCAGGTAAGGAACTTTGTGGTTGGTATTCAATAAAAAAAAAAAGAGGCTGTTTTAACATGGAGAGGGTGCAGAACTGTGGACTCAATATTTTGACTTTGGAAATTTGTTTTTGGTTCCATTGACCCTATCTGGCACAAAGGTCTCTCTCTGGCATTGAATTAATGGAAGAAAGAAAACTTACTTACGATTTATATCAATACAGCCTGAAAATATTTCCAAAGTACAGGGACAGGCTGGCTCCACACTACCACAGAGAGCTTTTACTAAAGTGGCTGTGGTACTTAATACTTTTAAGGTAGCTGCTGTGGACCTGTGTCCTTGTACAGGGTCTTGAGTCCTCAACAAATAATTTACAACAATGTTCTCTGAAGACCATCAAGTTAGATCTGGAAGGGCTGTAGAGCTGAATATAGAGCAGTGGGGAACAGGCTCCAAATGTGCTGAAACAGGTCAGTGGCTGACTGACTGGGATGTAATCTGTGCACTCTTATGTTGAGGTGCTGTGAGTGAGAGAGAATCTATTGCCAATCCCCAGGTATGTATATTGCTCCCATCAGAGAAAAATTTCCATTTCTTGTAGGAAGTTCAGCTCCATTATAATCTTATGGAATTACCATCATATATGTGTGGTCCATCATTGACCAAAACATCGTTATGCAGCACATGATTGTATGTGTTTTGCAAATATTTTCCCCCATTCTGTGGCTCGTCTTATCATTCTTTTAAGTGTATCTTTTGCAAAACAGAAGGTTTTAATCTTAAAGTACAACATCAGTTTACTCTTTAATGGATCATGCTTTTGATGTTGTTACATTTAGGTCTATGATCCCTTTTGAGTTAATGTTGTGAAAGTTATTATTAGGTCTGTGTCCAAGTTCTTTCTTTTGGTGTTCTTTTTTTTTTTATATGGATGTCTAATTGTTCCAGCATCATTTGTTGAAAATGTTATCCTTTCCTTGTTGAATTACCTTTGCTCCTTTGCTAATGTTCAATTGATTATTTGTATGTGTCTATTTCTGGGTTCTGTACTATTTTCCGTTGATATGTGTCTATTCTTTCACTAATACCATGCTCTCTTTATTAGTGTAGGTTTATAGTTAGTCTTGAAATCAGGTAATGTGACTGTTCTTCAGTATTACATTTGCTATTCTAGGCCTTTTGTCTTTTCATATAAACTTTAAAACCAGTTTGTTGATATCTATAAAATAGCTTGCCAGGATTTGGAATTGCATTGAACCTATTGATTAAGATGGGAAGAAACTGACGTGTTAACAGTTGAATTTTCTAACCCATGAATTTTCTAACCCATGAACATGGAATATTTCTCTCTGTTTACTTAGATTTTTGATTTCTTTCATCAGAGTTTTATAGTTTTAGGCATATAGATCCTGTCATATTTTGTTATATTTATAACTAAGTATTTTTTTCTGTGCTACTAATTTTTTAATTTCAAATTTTAATAGTTTATTGTTGGCATATAGGAAAACAATACTTATCTATATTAATTTTGTATCCTGGGGTTTTTTTTGTAAATTCCTTGGGATTTTCTGTATAGACGATCATGTCATCTACAAATAAGAAGTTTTATTTTTTCCTTTCTGATCTGTATGCCTTTTATTTCCTTTTTCAAATGTTATTGTACTGACTAGAACTCCCTATACTATCTTTGACTAAGAGTAGTGAGAGTAGACATCCTTGTTTTATTTCCAATCTTAGGGGGGAAAGCATTCAGTCATTCACCACTAAGTATAAAATCTATAGGTTTTTTTGTAGACGCTCTTTATTAAGTTGAAGAAACTTGCCTCTGTTCCTAATTTTCTGAAAGTTTTCTTTAAATCATGATTCAGGGTTGAATCTACTCATACTTTTTATATCAATTGACATGATTATATGATTTTTCTTCTTTAGCCTAATAATATGGTAGGTATACTATTTGATTTTCAAATATTGATCCAGCCATACTACATTTCTGAAATAATCCCACTAAGTCATGGTGTATAATGCTTTTAAAATATTACTGGATTTTATTTGCTTAAGGAATTTTGCATCCATATTCATGAGGGTTGTACTTTTTCTTTTCTTTTGTACTGGCTTTGTCTGGTTTTGGTATTTAATACTTGCTTTATAAAATGAATTGGGAAGTGCTCCCTCCTCTTTAATTTCTGGAAGATACTGTAAAATTGGTGTTAATTTTCTTTAAATGTTTAGTATAATTATCCAGTGAAAGCATTTGGACTTGGAAATGTCTTTTTTGGGAGTTAAAAAAAAATCACAGTCAATTTTCTTAATAGTTTTAGGACTGTTCAAGTGGTCTATTTCATAGTAGGAGTTGTGATGAGAATTTATTCATTTCATCTAAATTGTCAAATTTATGAGCATAGGTTGTTTATAGTATTTCCTTATTATCTTTTGGTCTCTGCAGATTCTTTAACCTTAATCCTCATCTATTTCATTTCTGATATTGGTAATTTGTGTCTTCCCTATTTTTTTCTTTGTTGGTCTTGCTAGACTCTAGCAGATAGAGGTATTTTAATGTGTGTGTGTGTGGTTTTTTTTCTTTTCAAAGAACCAGCACTTAGTTTCAGTGCTTTTTTTCTGTGGTTATTCTGTTTTCAATTTCATTGAATTTGGCTTTTATCTTTATTCCTTTCCTTCTGCTTGCTTCTCAGTTTATATTTCTTTTCATTGCCTAGGTTCTTGAGGGTAGGAACTTAAGTTGTTTTTGTTCTTTTTTATTTCTTCTTTCTTAATGTACTAGAGGCCTGGTGCATGAAATTCGTGCACTCAGGGGGTCACGCAGCCTGACCTGCGCCCTCTTGCAGTCCAGGAGCCCTCGGGGGATGTCTAATTGCTGGCTTAGGCCCGCCCCCCGTGGGAAGCGGGCCTAAGGTGGCAGTCAGACATCCTTAGCGCTGCAATGGAGGCGGAAGAGGCTCCCACCACCGCTGCTGCGCTCACCACCTGTGAGCCCAGCTTCTGGCTGAGCAGCATTCCCCCTGTGGGAGTGCACTGACCACCAGTGGGCAGCTCCTGCGTTGAGCGTCTGCCCCTGGTGGTCAGTGTACATCACAGTGACTGGTCGTTCCGCTGTTCAGTCGATTTGCATATTAGCCTTTTATTATATGGGATGGGCTATGTTGAAAGTTCCGATTCTCTGCTAGACCTCCTCCAGTACCACCCAAGTAGGGAAGGAGGGATGCTCATTGCTTCTGGTGTGAGTGGATGTCCAGGTCATCTCCGCCACAATTTTTTCCAGTGATGGAGGGTGAAGAGCATTAATGCCAGTGGGAATGAAAGTCCCAGCTCTCTACTCAACCTTCTCTAACACTACCCTGGCAGGCAGTTTAGGGTACCTCGTTATACCCCAGCAAGGATGGAAGTCCAGTCTCCCCACTTTAGCCTTTTCTAGTGTGAGTGGGAATAGGGCCACAGTTTGGTGGTGATGGTGGTGGTGTTTGATTACAAAGGAGTGATTGTTGTTTAAAAATGTTCTGTCTTACTAGGCTATCCCTTTCCTGGTGCTTTGGCTAGAGACAGCAGGCTCTTATTTTTGTTCTTGTTTTGTTAATACTCACCTGAGAATATTTTCCCTCGGTTTTTAGAGAGAGTGGAAGGGAGGGAGAGAAGGGGAGAAAGAGAGAGAGAAACACTGATGTAAGAGAGAGAGACATCAATTGGTTGCCTCACACACGTGCCCCGACCCAGGGCAGGGATCAAACCCCAACCCAGGTAAATGCTCTTGACTGGGAATCGAATCCACAATCCTTTAGTCCCCAGACTGACTCTCTAACCACTTTGCAACACTGGCCAGGGCAGAGAGAGAGCAGGCTTTTATGTTTCCCATGTATAATAGCTGATTTAAAGCATTATTAGAAAAAAAATCCTTTCTAAATAGGTCTTAATTTAAATACTTGCAAATATATAATTTGTGGTAAATTTTTTTATCTACTATATGTATATATGTTTAATGAAATATATTTCATGCCCCAGAATCCTCCCATTTTTCAGTGACGCTTAAGCTGAAACTAGAAATATTTGAGTATTTACCTATCTAAGCATTCATATATTCATTATCAGTATTCTAAAGGACATTAAATGCTTGGAAAACTATCTACTAGATTGCCCTAATTTGATTAATTTATATCTCAGGTCTATTGCCTTTTGCTTACTGCTACTATTTAAAAGATCATTTCTCGCCCTGGCTGGTGTGGCTCAGTTGGTTGGAGAGTCATCCCATATACTGAAAAGTTTCGGGTTTGATTCCTGTCAGGGCACATAGCTAGGTTTCCCGGGCAACCCATTTCTCTCTCTCTCTCTCTCTCTCTCTCTCTCTCTCTCTCTCTCTCTTTCTCTCTCTCTCTCTCTCTCAAAAAACAAAAACAAACTAACAAACAAAAACTAAAATAATTTCTCACTGCCATGTTGCAATTTTTTAATGAATTTTTAAAATATTTCAGGAATTATGACATGGTTTAAGAGAGGAAAGATCTCAGAATTCTTAGTTAAGCAATCAATTGTAAGTTAATCATTGCTACATTACAATATTTTATGTAATTCAGATATTGAATATGGGCCCTATTGTTTGTTGTCACATGACATGAAGAATTTTTGTGATTGAACTTTGATTCCTTATGTTCTGGAAACTTCTACCACTCTTCATTGCCCTCAAAATTCCCACTTTGGCTCAGTGGTTGCTTGTTAGTGGCACAAGTATTTGTCATCCTTGCGCAGGGGCCATGCTAATCTTCTCTGTATCGTTCCAATTTTAGTATATGTGCTGCCGAAGCGAGCACAGTGGCACAAGTATTTGTACAGGTGAATGCTGAGCTGTTCTTGGGAGAGAAAAAATGGTAAAATGTCTTTTTATAGTTCAACTTAAAATAGTGCACACTCAGCAAACTGAGAATATGTTATTAAAAGTTTATACTAATTTGTCATATACATGGTTAACATTTCTCATGTTTTTAAGAAGTTAAGATAAACTCAAGGAAGTGATCTCCTGTTTTAATTTAATCACTGTAACAAAACACCTGATGTAATTTGCTGGCGTTGCCCCAAGAGTCCTTGGACAAATGTTTACACAAAGAATGGAGAGACACAACTAAAATGATAAATGTATAACTTTCCCACATTTAACAACTAAGTTGACAGAGAAATTAAAAGCCTAAACATTAAATACAACCCTTTCATTCTTTCTCAATCCCCATCCCTGCCCCTTAAAACTTCAGTCTGATACTTAAAGTATATTTAAATTAAAGAAGTACATTTAATTATAAATAAAAAGGGATACCATATAAATGAGAAGAGACATGACAAACTAAAATATTTTTTTCATGAAAGGAGAAAGAATGGCTCTGTTGTTTTCCTTAAATAACTTTCATTAGTGCTATAGCTGAAGACTAGCAATTCAAATAATAATCTCTAATCCCATTACTGGGGTTTTCATGATAAAGATAATACTTAGTTGGAATCAATAGACCATGTGTTTCCAGTTAGTTGTTTTCCCAGTCATGATTCTTAAATGAGCTCAGCCATTCATATTCTCTCACAGTCCTCCATTGGACTGAGGTACATAACACATTTGTGAAATCCTAGCCACAGCTGTGGTACAGTGTATAGCCATGAAATAACCCCCCTCAACTGTGCTTTCTCCTCTCTCCCATCCTACTTCCTTTTTAGATTTGAAGCCACAATAATCTATTGACTAACCTATTTTTCTACATGAACAATACTTTAGTCAGGAAAAAAGAAATATTAACAAGGACTTGGAAAACTGAATTTGTAGCCAAAATAACTTTTAATAGACACTTAGTTGGTAAATTCATGAAAATATTTGTTCCCATTTCCAGTAACTTCATTTTGCCATTTGAGTCATCAGTTTAGAATCTGTAAATGTAAATTGTCTTTATATAATTTGGTGATATGGGATTTTTAATACTAGTGATAGGACTATGACTCTTCCACTTCAGACCTTTTAGTGGTGCTTTTCCAGATAAAGATAGCCAGCGCTTGCTGGCAGTACTCAATGAGAAAAGTCACAAGACAGCTCTCTGATGTGCAAATTTAATGTTCTTGTCTCCATGTCACTTTAAATTGGATCTCATCTTGAACTGAAAATAGAAAAATATAAAGATGACAATTTGATGCTAATAGTTACTATTTGCAAAAGTGAAGTAAATTGTCAGTAATCTTGTCAGGTTGAGAATGTAGGAGGTTATGGTTAATAAGCCATATAACTTCAAGTTTTATGCAGCATATGCATATCTGTACTCTAAGTAAATTTGTGAAGTAGGCAAAACTTATCTTTGGCCATGGTCTTTCCCCATCCCACCCCATGGAATCCTTCCTTGCTTGTAGGCACAGAGCCTATTCTTTTTTCTTCTGCTCTAATATGCCATCACAACCTGCTGTTAAGGAAGGAACTCCCTATAATGGAATTGTATCATTCATATATTTACTTTATGCAAATGTAACTATTTTTGCCCATCAAACATTTTTAAAAGTGAGGCAGAAACTAATTTTAATGTAAATAGTATAGGCAGTTTTGCCAGACATCTCACTCAAAGAGCATATGCCCTTGCGTGAGTATGAAAGACAAACAGAAATCTGCTCTGTTCTCCATTGGTCTGAATTCCTGCTTTGTTCTCATAGAGTGAGCATCTCACCATTCTCAGGGTATTTCAGGTGTTAAAGAAATGTGCTTTTGTGTCCAAGGGTCCTAAACACAAGCCAATAACCTCAACTAGTGCTGAACCAAATAAACAATCATCTGCTGTAATGCTAGAGGATAAAATGTCTGCTTTGCACTTACTAAGAAGTGGCTTTTCAGTCTCCAGTCTGGTATGGTACCTTCCAAAGAAATTTTCAAGGACAATTTTATCTACATGATTTTCACTTTACATGCCTATGTAAGGTTTGAATCCATTATATAGTTTAATGAGTTTTGACTTTTATACATATTTTCATTTTAACAGAAAATAATGGAATTCATTTGCTTATAGAATTACAAGCATAATTGAACCTCAGCTAAATATATAAAAGAAACACAACTAGGTATCATTTATCATTTTCATCTCTGAGGAAGAATTTGGGTTTTATGTGTGTGTGTTTTTTAAATAATAGCACTTCTAAAATTATACTAAATAAACAACTACTTACTCTATCAAATCCTAAGGCCAGGCCTGATTTTACACACAGATGTCTAAGTTTCTTAAAACTAGAATATGCTAAGTATATCAACATTAAAACTATGTATTTCACCTCTGGGTCTCAATTTCTTTCTTTTTTTTGCATTAGAGAATAATTTTATTTTTCATTTTTATTGAGGTGACATTGGTTAATAGCATTATATAGATTTCAGGTATACATCATCTGTATAATTGCATTGTGTGTTCACTGCCCCCATGTCAAGTTGTTTCTCAATTTCTAAGTTCCACTGTTCTTAGACACTCTCCAAATTCCTATTTTAGTTCTACTTAGATTATTTCAATAATACTTTAGCTCTGAAATTCTATGGTTATTACATCAGATATTGACTAGATGCTGAATATAATTGCATCATTTAATTAGAGGGAATTTAAACTCCTTGCAGTACTTCGAAGTTATCTCTGAATTAATGTTTTCATAATTATTGCTATGCAAAGATACCAATCAGTAGAGATTTATAGTTTCTAGGGACTAATGATGTTTACTATGTGAAATGAAAATTCTTTTTCTTTGCCCTAAATTCAGTTTGAAAGAATAAGAGAGAGAAAAAAAACAAAACAGCTTTTTAGGACCTTGCTGAACAACATTTGAGCAATAATTTTGATTGAAAGAATACATTTTTATAGACAATAGAAACAAAGGCATGGCTATATGGAACAGACCGACAGCTGTTAGAGGGCAGGGGGCAGAGACTGGATGAAAGAAGGTGAAGGGATTAGCCAAAGAACATATATGCATAACTCATAGACATAGACAACATTGTGGTGATGGCCAGAGGGAAGGGAGAAGCAGGGCTAGTGGATATGGGCAAAGAATATAGGGCAAATGGGGACATCTGTAATAGTGTCAACAATAAAAATAAAGTTAAAAATAAAGAATGGTGCACTGCTTGCACCATTTCAAACTTTATTAAAATATAATTTACACATCAAAAAGAAAAGAATAGTGCAATATTGTTGCATCATAGATTCTTAAATAGCATAGTTCATAAATGAGGTAACTTGTTTTTCTGGACTTATGGCCCATTAGGGAGGATAAGATTATCTTTACCACTTAGAATGTGTTTGTGCTCTTTTATGCTGTATCAGGAATATAACAAAAGTTACATTTTGGCTGTATGTCATGGACAGGGACCTTGTCGAAAAAGACAAGGGACCTTGATCAGTAGGATTTTCCTGACTTCAGGTGCTGAACAAAAGCCAAAGAAATTTTTTAAGTATCCTTGTAAGCCTTTTTGCTAGTACTGATTGGGGCAATGTTCCTCTACCTCTCAGTCTCAGATTCATAATTGTTTTTATTATTCTATAATTATTTTAAGAGCATTTTATTAGGTTACAGAGAGAACTGTAAGTGAACATATGATGCTTTCCTAATAGAGAAAAGCTGAGAGTAATATTGCTCAACTGGAAATAAGAAAGCTAAAATTGTGGTAGCACTTCCTCCAGGTATTTAGCTCAAGCTTAAGCAGAGTTGTCTGAAAGTTAACAGGAAAAGAAACTACTTGTGAAGTGTTAAAACCACAATCTAAGAAAAAAAACTTTTTATAATGTCATATTGTAGAGTATTATGAACTAAATGTCATACTCAAACTGGTTTAGTATTTAATAAATATACATCGCTTACCTTAGATAAAAACGACAAAAAGCAACTAATCCCAACATTAGTAGCTGAGGTGTTTGTTTTTTGTCTGTTTGGCGTTTTAGTGTTTTTTTCATTCTTTTGGAGCCACATGTCCAGCAATAGTATTACCACCATTATATATATATTTTTTCTCTTTTTTAACCATCATTATATTTTAGACAAAGAATGATCTTCAGGTTTTCTATGTCTCACAAAGGGTCTACAATACAGTTAAAATTCATGTTAATTATTTGAAGCTAAGAACTTATTTTCTCACTCTGGCAAGTCCTGTAGACAACCAGTTAATTTTAACAGCATGAGGTTGCTAAACTATTAAAGTTAGTAACATAAATAATTTTTACATTCTATTTTAGCAGTATTTCTATGAGAAAATTAAACCTAAATTTTTACTGGGAATTTCAACAACATTCTCTCCCCATTCTGCTGAATCACTTCTTCCCTCAGAAGACACTGGGAGAAGAAGGTTCTAATAAGAGATGGGAAGGAGTAGAGCTGTGAATTGGGGCTAAAATTGGGAAAGAATAGTGGGGAGCCTTTTGAGGATTTCTGAAGGAAGGTCTTTGCTTTTAGCGTTGTAGAGGCAGGTATAATAATAAGGAGGGCAGATGCTGTGTTCTCGAAGTTCCAGAAGTTTAACAATAAGCTTGTTCCTATTAATTATTAACACATGAAAGAGGCTGTGAGGATGTGTGAAGCTCAGTAAAATTCAATGAACATGTGTTCCTTTTCTTTCTCCCTCCTTCCTTTGCTATACAATTTTATCTTTTCCTTTCCCTAAAAGTTCTCCACACCTCCTTACTTCCTACTCCCTCTCCGTATGTTGGCTTTCTCTCAGTCTTTTACACTCATGTATCTTTCACTTTGATTCAATAGGAAAATTTGGGACCACAGAGGTATAGTGCACAAATAATAAAACACAATTCATCTACATTTTAAAATATTGCCT